ATACCTATACCTATACCTATACCTATATATATATATATATACGATATAATTATACTACGCAGAATAATAGACTGTTTTTGATATAAAATTTACATAACTTTGATTATTGAACTAGCTTCCAAACACAATCCTACTACTGTTACGCATTGTTGCATGTGGTGATGCTAAATAAATATTTTGCATGACATATAATATAACTAAGAGTAATATAGCAATTATCATTTGAGTCCATACGTAGATATGTAATTTACACCTAGCATCTACAATTATTACAAGTTATGAGTCAGCAGGACTATCGATGCCAGAGCGCTCGACCAATCTCAAGGGAAGCTCAAGTAACCTTAACCACCGCGGGTTGATCTCACTTGTTAAAGTCTCAGGACGAAAAGATATCATCTTCAGTGGACACGCCACTGCTGGTCTTTTATAAGATACTATACGATTACAGGCAGCGGACAAATAAATTGTCTATTACAACATTGTTACTAGACTAAATTAATATTTACTTTTCCATAGTATATATCTAGTTAAACGATGTATGTCGTCGTTTGGTCAAGAGCTCAAGAAAGCCAACTGCGTCGACCTCTTGCCCAGGTTGAAATGTAGAGACGTAATTTTGCACCTACCATCAACAATTACGAGTTGTTTACAATAGGCTTACTTTGCAAGATCCAACGCAGTGGCGGATCCAGAAGTAAATTCTAGGGGGGGGGATCGTGCGAGCTCAAGGGCACGAAGCGCCCGAGGGAAGAGGGTGTTGGCACAGGAGAGATCTCTCTTATTTATGTTGTTTGAGCACAGCGCGGGCGTGCGGTACTTGCGTGTTGCAGATGAGCATTTGACTGGAATTTACAGGTGATTATAGGCGAAATAGAGTAGAGAAACATTAAGACTTTGGTACATTTTGTGTTTATTTACCATTAATGTTTTTTATTGAGACGTTCCAAGTGCCTGTGGGTGTTGGGCTATAATATACCCTTGCCCTGAAAATTCTATGAGGCGACCGCCCCTGTTCCCCCCTGCATGGACTTCAACGTTACATTTGAAGTTATGTTTTCTATTGTATATCTATGATATACCTTTTACCAATGTATCGTATATATAATGTATGTATAAATGAATAAAATAAATAATTAATAA